TCCGTGCTTTCACATTGAGCAGCATTAACTACACAGAGCCGTTGTTCACTGACGAGTTGCGCAAAACCATGTTCATATTCGGGCGATTTTTTTGCGCAGCTCGTCAGTGAACAACGGCTCTGTGTAGTTAATGCTGCTCAATGTGAAAGCCGGCAGGTGATGGAGATTTACCGCTGATTACAGAACCGGATTTCTGACAAGATGCGCGTTAAATATCGCATGCGATTTATCGTGCAGCCCTAATTGTAATGAAAATTATAATAAGAGCTCAGATAAACCATATATTGTGGTAGCCGTGTGTTTATTAGTCACACTGAATCAATGAAAGCAGTTCAATCTTCTGTTTATTCAGCTGCAGTGATAGGGATTTCCTGGGTTTCTTCTGGAGTTTCTCTGGCCTTCAGATGGAGATTTACTGCTGGTCACAGAACCATGCTTCACGGACAAGAGACACATGACAATCACAGCTTCTGTCTAATTGCGTTTTCGATTTCATTTCGATTTATCGTGCAGCCCTAGGTGAAATGCGCATCAGCTAAACATCATTCCCAACATGAAGCAGCGAGCGTCATGTGTTCACCTCCATCTGCAGGACCTGCTGCAGTCGCTCCATGATGACCAGCGTGGTCTTCTGCACCGCGGGGTAACAGTCCTTGGCGCTGTTCTTCACGATCTCCATCAGAGCCTCATACGCTGCACTTCGCAGGTTATTCTGATGCCCGTCTCAGTGAAGAGTGAAGAGGAGACAGTCAGCGCACTGGAGGAGCTTCACTGCCTCACGTTCACCTGCTCTGGCTGTCACCTGTCACCTCAGACTAAAAACTAAACAGGGTACACACTGGCAGATCATTCCTTTAATCTAGAGATTTTGATGATTTCATATCTTAAAGGGAAGGATGTTATATACAATTATAATTAGGGGTTCTCCTATCAGGATTTTTGAGGCTGATCACCGATCACAGAAAGCAGTATCTGCCGATACCGATCTTTTAAAGCCTTACTTTTTATAATTTATAGCTATTTATAGTGATACTCCAATCAGGATTTTTAGACATTTACTCAGGGCCTGAATTTCATTTTTGAAAATGGGGGAAATTCCCCTCTTAGGTGACTCTTGTGAGAGAAGCAGCATTCACACAGCAGTCCGCTACTGATCCGTGGCTGTTTACCACAAACACAACATTTATCCATTATTCTGATTTCAAATCCAAACATTGTCACTGAAAATGCTTTTTCAGCATTGAGATTCATTTTTTACACAGTACAGTAATACAATCTTTCACAGACATGTTTAAACTCAATAAATATAAGCAACACATTATTCAATGCCTTTTACTTTTGCATTTACTTCTAGATTTATATATTAAGTTACTCAAGCAATTGGCAAAATATTTAAACTACTTTTCTTACGGTATCACAAACTTACCATTGACCGTAACAGTCAGCCCTACTGCCTTTTCTTTTGCATTTAGATCTTTATTACAAGCAATCCTGCCGTTCATAAAGAACTTTGTTTTCCTACCTCCCCTAGTGCCATCTCTTATTGCCTTGTTTATCTAAAAGTGCTCTTTCCATTTAAACCTAGCCAAAAAGCCATGTGCTGACTGTGAAACACAGTAGACTTTAATTATATGCATTTATGGTGTAATTACTACATTTTCGTGTCAATCCATGTT